GACACCACCTTAACTGCTATGGCTCCATGCTATGGAATCCTGGGATTTGTCTTTTGCTGTGGCACTGGAGCTCTCTGACCGAGAAGGCTGAATAGGTCACCAAACTGCAAATCTCAGAATTTCAAAGCACAGAGCCGTGGCAGGTAAAGCAGTGTCAAACTGCATTAATTCTGCCATGCAGATGCAGCCTGGGAAAGTTATTGTGGCATCTGAGGGAGAAAAATCCCAGATGTAGTTCTTTCTTGATGTGGAAAGATGAGGAATTGCCCATTTGCTGCCGTCCCATGATACCCAAACCTGCCGCCTGAGGCATCCCCAGCCTTTGGTCTTTCCCACTTGCCAGCTTTCCTCCTTTTAATAGGTAATTCACCCATATTTCTTGTTCTCTGCCCTCTGTTCCTCCTCACTTGCTGAACGTTAACCTTTCTGCAAGTCTCAACTGGAAATAAAGCTTAAGGAATGGGTTGCATCTACACTGTAGAAATAATGCAGTTTGACACTGCGTTAAGTGTTGTGGCTCCATCCTGGGATTTGTAGTTTGTGGTGGTACTGGAGCTCTCGGGCAGAAAAGGCTGAATGTTTCACAAACCTGCACTTCCCAGCATTACATAGCATGGAGCCATGGCGGTTAAAGTGGTGTCAAACTGGATTATTTCTGCAATGCAGATGCAGCCAGTGTGTCTCGATTTGCAAGCTGAGGCTCATCCTCCACTCCAGAGCTTTATGGAGTATCTACACATCGCTCGAAGAAACCCCAGGACTCAAGTCCAAGTCTTGATGTAAAAGATGACAATATGCACCAACAATATTTCTGTTTTCCTTGCAGGGTGATCCCGGTCTTGAAGGTGACAGCGGCCCAGCAGGACCAGATGGACTGAAGGTTAAAAATGCAACTTTTTTCTCTCTGTAATTTTGACCACGAGAAATAACTCCACTTCGATGAATCTCACACGAGTCTGCAAGCGTTCCCTTCTTATAAGCAGGGTCAACATAATAATAATAATAATAATAATAATAATAATAATAATAATAATAATCAGGCATGCATTTCCTTTACTTTGTGTCATTTCTTTCCAAGCTAGACTTCATGATCATAGAAGCCAAGGGCTTCCATTCCAGGAAAACGTCAATCTTGTCTTGAAACTCCTGCCAAATGAATAACAATATTAATAACCAAAAATTCCTTGTTGTGTCAGTCCAGCTATATAATTTGCTGCTCTTTTCTGTAGCTATCTATCATCAAGTGTCAGAGCTGATGAAATCCTTCCTTACAAGATAATTCTTTTTTTTTTATTGTGACGTGCTTTAAAAAATAAAATAAATCCCCCTGCATTCATGACTAAATGGCTCCTTTCCTGCCCACAAACAAATGCTCTCTCCTGCTCAGAGTTTTCACCTAGTTAGTACATGTTTCTGAATATAGTACGGCTTTGACTTTGCAAGATTTGAGCAGAGTTTCTTGGAGGTTTCTCCTTCTTAGGGTTGCCGTATGTCGAAGCTCATTTGACCGCAATTTAAAACAGTAGATCAGACACCGAGGCTGCATCTGCACTGCAGAAATCATGCAGTTTGGCACCACTTTAATTGCCATAGTGCAATGCTATGGAATTTTGGGATTTATAGTTTTGTGAAATATTCTGGAATTCTGTGTGTTTTGCATGGCAGAATGGGGTTGGATTGGGTGACCCTTGGGGATTCCCTTCCAACTCTAGGATTCTATGTATTCCAACTTTGGGATTCTGTGTATTCCTACATGGCAGAATGGGGTTGGATTGGATGGCCCTTGGAGGTTCCTTTCCAACTCTAGGATTCTATGTATTCCAAGTCTAGGATTCTATGTATTCCTGCATGGCAGAATGGGGTTGGGTTGGATGGCCCTTGGAGGTTCCTTTCCAACTCTAGGATTCTATGTATTCCAAATCTAGGATTCTATGCATGGCAGAATGAGGTTGGATTAGATGGCCCTTGAGGGTTCCCTTCCAACTCTAGGATTCTATGTATTCCAACTCTAGGATTCTATGTATTCCTGCATGGCAGAATGGGGTTCGATTGGATGGCCCTTGGGAGTCTCTTCCAATTGAATGATTCTATGATGTAGCCTTCTCTGTCAGAGAGCTCTGGTAGCACAACAAACTACAAATCCCAGAATTCCTTAGCATGGAGCCATGACAGTTAAAGCGGCGTCAGACTGCATTATTTCCGCAGTGCAGATGCAACCAAAGAGGCATTATTTTGGACTCCCTGTGTGTGGGAAAGTTAATAGATCAGCAAAGACGTCCACATTTGCTACGGGAGCCCTGCACGAAGAAGACCAACCCTTTGCATGCATGTTGCAAGGCGACAGCTCGGCCTTTGTCTTTCCACTTTAGAACTTTATTTTGAAAGCAAATTTTGAAAGAAAATTCAATTAAAAAAAAAGAGTAGCAAGCAGTGCCAGCTGAACAAGAAGTCACCTTTTCTGCCTTGTTAGGTCCTGGAAGTCTTTCTGGTCCAGTCTTTCCTACCAAAGATGGGAGGGCTGCTCTTGCTTGGGGTTGGTTTGCGGGACAAATAGAGGAGAAGCTGCTCACCCCTTTTTGCTTTTTCCAGGGTGACAAAGGAGAACCTGGTCCGGAAGGGGAAAGAGGCGAGAAAGGGCAGGAAGGCATCAAAGGAAAAGAAGGGCCTCCTGGATATCCTGGGCTGACCGGCGTCCGCGTGAGTATCCAAGAGGACTTACTTTTCCACGGTCTTCTTACTTGCTTAACTTTGCTGGGATTTCTCTGATGCGCTCCTTCTAATCTGTAACATCACTGTACTTTCTTGGGTCCAAAAGCAGCAAGGGATGATCCATCTTCTCCCCATGGCTTCTGCAACCTAGTGCAACCTTTTCCAAATTTTCTTTTCTTGCTGTGGTTGTTGTATGCCTTCCAGTTGTTTTCGACTTATGGCGACCCTAAGGAGACCCTATCATGGGGTTTTCTTGGCAGGTTTCTTCAGAAGGGGCTTGCCATTGCCATCCTCTGAAGCTGAGAGAGTATGACTTGCCCACAGGCCACCAGTTGGTTTCCGTGGCCAAGCTAGGATTCGAACCATGGTCCTAATCCAACACTTAAACCACTACACCACGCTGGCTCTTTCTTAGGCAAGGAATACTCAGAGTTGGTTTTGCCAGTTCCTTCTTCTGAAATGTAAGCCCACAGCACCTGGTATTCATTTGTGGTCTCCCATTCCCATACTAACCAGGGCTGATCTTGCTTAGCTTCCAAGATCCGATAGGATCTGGTGCCTTCCAGGTATTTCATCCTTTCAACACAATATATTGTGTTTGCTGTGTGCCTTTAAGTCATTTCCGACTTACGATGATCCTATCATGGGGTTTTCGTGGCAAGATTGGTTAAGAGGAGGTTTGCCATTGCCTTCCCCTGAGGCTGAGAGTGTGTGACTTGCCCAAGGTCACCTGGTGGGTTTTATAGCTGAGCAGGGAATTGAATCCTGGTGTTTAGAGTTGTAGTCCAGTGCTCAAATCATGCTGGCTCTCAACACAATATATACTAACTGCAAAATTTAGATTTTGTGAGAAAAGCACATGGCTCCCTGGTGCAGGTTTTCGCTTGCTTTTATTTGGCACAAAAAAATACATCATCCAGATTGTCACTTTCCAGAGTCTAATTTCCAGAGTCTAAGAACCTTTGGGTCCCAATTTTAGGGGGAAAGTGGAATAATAATAATAATAATAATAATAATAATAATAATAATAATAATAATGTTGAGTCCAGGCCCATGACTCCCTGCCTGCTTTGCAGAAGAATGGCATCTAGCGTAAAATAAATTTCAAAAGAAGAAAACAAAACCACAACTCCTCTTCATTTCAGAAGAACGGTTATAATCAATGTTTTTAAAAACCAAACAAAACCATCCCTTTTCCATAACCAGCATATCAAGTTATATAGCTCTGATCAGTAGGCGAGACTAGAATCTGCAACCTCCTTGTGCCAAATTGAACGCAGGGATTGCATGCCTTTAAAATGCCTTTTGGAAAAAAGCAAAGTAGTACGATGGAGCCAATACAGTTTCATCTGCTTGTAATCACTTCCCCTTGTTAGTCTTTATTATGGTGTTATAGTGCTGTCTCATATTTTTAGTGCAAGTTCTGTACAAGCAGTTATTATTATTATTATTATTATTATTATTATTATTATTATTTTGGAAGAAGTAAGAGCTACCTTCTGTAGATGACTGGTTAATGAAGTTGACAGAAATGCAGGATATGGACAGATTAACAGCCTTATTAAACCAAAAAGATTTAGACAAGATAGACACTGAGTGGTCTCCGATTAGGGAATATGTTGCAATGAAATGGAGTAAATAGCAAGTTAACAAGGAAGTACATAAGATGAATACAATGAGAATGTACGAGATATTTGAGAGAAGAAATGGAGGTTATAATAAATATTTATGAAATATGGGAATCATTTATTGAGTTATATTTAGTGCGAGAGTTTTTGATAAGTTTTGGGGATACAGAAAGTTAAAAGATTATGAAGACATATAAAAAGGTATTTGCAGTCGAGATTACTTTTGGAAGTATCGTAGTAGTAGATAGTAGTTTAATACGATGTGCAACTATTTTATTGAATTATACAAAATGTGAATGTAAATATTATATACACACACACAGAGACACGCACAGACACACACACACACACAAAATAAAAATAAAATAAAATAAGCCAAACAGTTATTTTTAAAAGCAAATACACATGAAACTGACTCAACGCAGGCCCATAGAAGGTCCATAATACCTTGACGGAGACTGAGGTTCCTTCCATAGAAGGTTCATCATTGCTTGATGGAGAAGGAGCTTTCCAAATACTATTTGGAATATTTGGAAACCTGTTTGCTTGCTTTGGTGATCCATCAAGTCCAGCCTTCTTCCTCCTTTTCCTCCAACTCCCTGTTTCCTACTTTGCTGACTCTTCTCATAATGTGCTGTTGTGATTCAAGAAAGCTGGTGGAAATGCAGTGTAGTGTAGTGGTTTGAGCATTAGACTACAACTTTGGAGACCAGGGTTCAAATCCCAGCTCGGCTATGGAAACTGACCCTGGAAAATCACGCTCTCTAAGCTTCGGAGGACTGCAACATCCCTCTGAACCAAATGTGCCTTAAAGTCATCCGGAAATGTTCCTCAAAGGCATGAAAAAGATGCAAAAATACCCCCACACACCACAATTTGGCTGAGGGATGGATAGATGGCTGGGAGGTGGAACCTTACAGGGTTTCTGCTGCTCCAGAGAATAGGACCCGGAGTAATGGGTTCAAAGATAGGCAAGGAGATTCCACCTCAACATTAAGAAGAATTGAGCTGTTTGATAGTGGAAGAGGCTCCCTCAGAGTGTGCTGGAGTCTCCTTTTTGGAGGCTTTTAAACAGAGGCTGGATTTCCATCTGTTGAGAGTGTTTGGATGGTGTCTTCCTGCATGGATTGGATGACCCTTGGGGGTCTCTTTTAACTCTCTGATTCTCGGATTCTAGGAAGAGGCGAAAAGGATTCTGGGCCTCCAAGAAAAGGCAAGATATAGATATTCCTCATGCCTTGGCAGGGACAAATGTGGGGATAGATCTGTGCTCGTCCCACACGATCTCCGTCCTGTTCACAGGGATGCCTTAAACTCTCCAAGCCTCGGTTAACACACTGTCTGATTCACGGCGGCTCCTTCAGTCCTGCTTCTGCGGTCGGAGTGAACCAAAGCTTCCATTATATAACCCTCAGCCCCTTGCCAGCTGTTGGCTACAACTGGCCAGAAGCTGAGCAGCGTAACCCATCCCATCCCATAGAGTCCACTGAGTAAACGTTCCTCTGCAGCATTTCTCCTTTGCTGTAAGGCACCAAGTGTTTTGGTTCCCCCCTTCCCAGTATGATCCATGAGCCAGAAGCCACATGGAAAGCGTGCCAACTGGCAGGAGCCAAGCTGATGGGTTTTCAGTCGCTCGCTGTTGCTGGGCGCTGTGGCTTTCCCCAAATACGCTGCCCTTTGTATGCTGTGAATATGAAAGTAGCCAACGTTTTCACAGTTCCAGGAAAATAATTGCTGAGTCCGTAGGTCATGCGATCCAACATGTTCAGGGAAACAAGAAAATCCCTATTTGGTTTTATTTTTTTTTTTACAGGAACGCAAGAGATCTCAATTCTCTATTTAAAAAAGATTACTTCTGCATGTTTTAAATCTGCCGTGAGGATGGGAGACCCATCATTGCATGAACTTCTTCTGTTGTAAAACCAGTCTTCAAGCCACCATCAAGGCTCATGAATCTCAGACTCGGGTCTCTTAGGTTTGTAAAAATATGATTCCCAATCTTGGTTTGGAAGCTGCCGCAAACCGTCGATTTTTTTGGCAAACCAAACTCCTTACAAACCATGGCTTAAGTGTTTTTTAACTACAAACTAAGATGCTAAACTCCTAGAATTTAACTGGAAGCTGCCCAAAACCATGGATTTTTAGGCTGACCAAAACTCCTTACAAATCATGGCTTAAGTGTAATCATGGAAGCTTGTGTAATGTGATTGTGGAAGCTTGTAGTTAAAAAACTACACTTAAGTCACAGTTGGTAAGGAGTTTTGGCTTAGCCAAAAATCCATGGTTCGTGGCAGCTTCCAAACCAAGATTGGGAATCATGTTTTTACGAACCTCAGAGACCTGCGTCTGAGATTCATGATCCATGATGTTGACCTGAAGATTGGTTGATTGATTGATATTACCTGAGCTTAGCTCCAGCATTGGAGTAGCACACCTTCCACCAAGACCTCCAAGAAACCATAACAGTAGAGTCCTAAACCTTAGTCGCCCTCAGCACCATAATAGCTGAAG